CCTGTGATTGGAGGGCGGGCACCTTCGGTCCCGCCCCCCAACTTCCGGACGGGAGCGGCGGTGGAGGTTCAGTCAGTCCCCGCTGGCGGTGCGGGTTTAGTGAACCCTCCGTAGAACCCCTGAAGGTCGGGGGTCAGAGAGCCCGTGCGGTGCGGGACGAGAGCACCTGGAGGGAGCGTGGGCGCTGCCTGCCCGCTTTCCGCGCCTTGCCCTGTGCGTCTCCGTGCGATCCTGAGTTACCGCCTTTTGCATGAACGGGTAGCTTAGCTTAGTAAGGAGCCTGTTTCCCGGTGCCCTGTGGGCCGTCCTGGCAAAGGAACGGACCCGGAGGAGGGGATCTTAGGAAGCCCCGATTTACCGGTGGGCTTGCGACTGGCGTCTGAATTGAGTTGCCGAGGGAGGGGCCGTGGGAACCCCCAGTCTATAAACAGTTGTTCGGAAACGCGGATGCAGCTGAGGCTTTCAGCTGGCATCCCACGGGTGGGGAGGCACTCCTCCCCTCTCCCCCCATCACCCAGGGATATGTTTATTGATTTGAGAGAGAAACACTGATTGGTTGCCTGCCGTGAACACAGAGTCCCCAGCCAGGGATGGAACACGCCACCTAGGTAGATGCCATGACCCAGAATGGAGCCTGAAACCTTTCTGATACCGGTGATTAGCTCCCACCAGCTTAGCCACCTGCGGGGGAGGGGCAGCCTTGTAGGATGGAGCCCTTAACCTGTGGAATCTGATGCTGTTTCTGGGTAAACAGGTAGAATTGAGGTGACTTTTCAGATACTTTGCTGGTGTCCGAGAATTGCTTGGTGTTGTGTGGAAACGACCCCCCCGCCCCATATTGGAATTGGGTCCCAGAACCTAATTTAGGGGAATATCCAGATTTGAAGTTGAAAGTTGTTAAAAAGCGAATGAGAAATGGAAGCAGGGAAACTGGGAAGTAGGACCAGCAGTAGACTTCAGGAGGATCATGGGAGGGGCTGGATGGGAGAGGTGTGGGTAGACCATCTGGCTGAGATTGCTTATCTCCAGGGCAGGGCAAGGGTGGTGGTCCAGCTGAGTTAGCAGGATCCTACTGTGGTTACCCCCTTTCTCATGGCAACCTTCTTCCCACAGGATCCCATGGCAGTGGCAGAAATGCTTACAGACCCTGCTCAGGTAAGTGGAGCCTATTTGAGGTTCCCACCCATTGTAATTATCCCCGACAGTGTAGGCACCCCAACATAGGAAGTGGTGATACTCCGAGACTCTCCACCTGTTCCCCTCCGTGTCTCAGGCCTGAAAACCCTGTAGTTCCACACAGCCCATGGTCCTGAACTCAGTCCTGGGTTATATGAATCAGTTCCATTTTAGACACCGACAGGGTAAGATGTGACATGCATCGTGGGCATGGGATCCAGAAAATTCAAATGCTAGCAGGTGAGACTTAGCTGGGATGTTTAGGAAATCGCAGATTCCTGTTCCATCTGATGGGGTAGGGAGTGGAGTGGCAGGAGGATGTGTGGGTAACGACATGATCCTGGAGAGAGAAGCTGCACATTGATTGAACTGTCTCCATTTTTACAGGGCCATGTGGTCTTTGAGGACGTGGCCATCCATTTCTCCCAGGAGGAGTGGGGGCTCCTTGATGAGGCTCAGAGACGCCTGTACCACAATGTGATGCTGGAGAACTTTGCACTTTTGTCCTCTGTAGGTNATGTGATGCTGGAGAACTTTGCACTTTTGTCCTTTGTAGGTAAGGCCCTCACACCCACCCCAGGGTCCTGGGCTGGGCTCTGTTCTTCCCTTTCCAGGGGCAGATCTGTCCCTCTGACAAAATCATGGGTGCTACTTTCTCTCCTGCTTTCCTGGCAGATGTGTTGTTGGTGCCAGGGCCAGGCTGTGTGCACTGTCCCTGCTGTCCCCAAGCAGCCCCATCCCTGCTGCTCTGAGTCCTGACAAGACAGCGCTGAGGAGTCAGAAATCTTGAAATTTGTGTGAGATCCCTCGGAGCTGGCCTATCCCTGGTTGTGTTTCTCAGTGTAGATGCTGGATCCTTTCCCTTCCTTTTTACTGACACACTTAGAGGTTTCCTGTGCCAGGAATTTCAGCCCCTAATGTGGTCACTGCTTGTGGGGACGACTGGCTTGTTTTTTTAAAGGCTATCTGAAGGTTTTGTAATTATAGAATGTGGATGTCATGGGGTAGGTAGCTCTGGATGTGTGTTGTCCATGGCCTCTTTCTGTCTTTCCCCTTGACTGGCCTCTTCCAGGCCCAGGTAGTTGTTCATCTTGAGCAACAAGGAAGGCCCAGCTTGCCTGACAGGGTCACTATTACTTCTGCAATGTCAGGAGAGGCTCAAAGGAACGAGGCCCTGATATATGGGAGCTGGGAAATGATGAGCTGTCGGAGCTGGGTCCCATGTACACTGGGCACCTGTCTTGTGCCCACCACTGTCTGACACTGTAGACAGAGGCCACACATCACTACTAATTTTTCTTTCCCACTGATATTTCAACTCCAACTTCTGGCCCCTGCTCCTACCCACTCCCTTCCACTGCTGCCTTTTGCAGTGCCCTCAACATTTGATCTACACTGAAGGTGTAGTGATGTCCGCACATGTCCTTAAATAATCCTTGAAGCTCCTGTGTCGAAATCGGACGTGTCTGGGTCTGAAAGCCATTTCCAGAGGAGTGACCTAGAGACCCTGCCTCTCATCCCTGCCGTGTCTCTTCCTCGTGTCATCAGGGCTCTTTCATTGTGAGCTTCCCAGGCCCAGCTCTACCGAGTGGGCTTCCTCTCACTGCTTCTAGGCCCCTTGCCTGTCAGCATTCCCTAATCCATGGGTGTGTCTGGCACACACTTTTGACGGGGCTGCATCCTCCCACCAAAGTCAGTATGTGCTTCACCAGTATCTCTCTGCTCACAGGTAGTTGGCCTGGAGCCCAGGATGAGGAGGCACCTTCGGAGTCAGGTGGTCCTGCGGGAGTGTCACAGGTCCGGACTCCAAAGCCAGCTCCGTCCACCCAGAAGTCTCATTCTTGTGAGATGTGTGGCCCACTCTTGAAAGACATTTTACACCTGGCTGAGCTGAATGGAACACACCCTCAGCAAGTGGTGTGCACGTGTGTGGCCAGTCTTTCCCAGTCCCATGAGGAGCAGAGTGGAAAGAAACTGTCTGGATGGGATGAGCAGAGGCCTTCACTTGTGAGGAACTGTAGTGTTCACATGGCAGAGAGGACCTTGACATGCAGGGAGGGTGGAGAGGACTTTGCAGCCAGCTCAGGCCCTCCTGTGCACCAGGCCGCTCACAGTGGAGGGAAGCCCCACGACACTGAGGGCAGGGAGAACCTGGGAAGTGGGCAGAATGGTTACAAGTGTGATGACTGTGACAAAGCCTTTAGCCACAAGCACATACTTGTTGCGCACCAGAAAATGCACACGCGGACAAGGCTCTACGAGCGCCTCGACTGTGGGGAGCTCTTTAGTCAAAGGTCTGGCCTCATTGACCAGCAGAGAGTTCACAGCAGGCCAATGCGTTATGAGTGCAGTCAGTGTGGGAAATGTGTTAAAGACAGCTCCACACTCATTGTTCACCAGAGAGTTCACACTGGAGAAAAGCCATATAAATGCAGCGAATGTGGGAAATCCTTTAGGTACAGCTTCACACTCAAAAGACATCAAAGAGTTCACACTGGAGAAAGGCCTTATGAGTGCAGTGTATGCGGGAAATCTTTCATGGACATCTCCACACTTATTATTCATCAGAGAGTTCACACACGGGGAAGACGTTTTGAGTGCAGCAAATGCGGGAAGTTCTTTAGGTACCGCTTCACACTTGAGAGACATCAGAAAGCTCACAGCGGAGAACGGCCTTATGAGTGCAGTGAATGTGGGAAACTCTTTAGGCACAACTCAAATCACATCAGACATCGGAGAAACCACAGCGGGGAGAGGCCTTATGAGTGCAATGTCTGTGGTCGACTCTTCAGCCAAAACTCCCACCTCATTCGGCACCAAAATGTCCATACCAGAGAAAAAACTTACGAATGTAGTGAATGTGGGAAATTCTTTATGGATGGCTCCACGCTCATTATTCATCAGAGAGTCCACACTGGAGAGAAGCCTTATGAGTGCGGTGAATGTGGAAAAGTCTTTAGATACAACTCCAGCCTCATTAAACATCGGAGGATTCACACAGGGGAAAAGCCCTATGAGTGCCACAAGTGCGGGAGAGGCTTTAGGCAGAATTCCCACCTGGTTCGGCACCAAGAAGTTCACAGCAAAGAGTATCACAGACCAGAAAAGACTTCAAAGAAAAGTCTGCTCTGCTCTTAGCACTGGGAAGTACTGCTATGCAGTTGTGTGTGTGTGTGTTTTATTTGTGTCTTAACCATATTTAAGGGTAAGGTTCAGTAGTGAGATAATACATTCACATTTTTGTACAACAAACACCAAAAGTCTCTTCATCTTTTAAAACTGAAACTATAGCTATGAAACGACTACTCATCACCCCTCCGTTATCCCCCGACAGCCAACAATTTTACTTTGTCTGTGAATTTGACCACTTGAATACCTTATATAAGGAGAGTTGTAAAATTTTTATCTATTTGTGGCTTATTTCACTCAGCATAATGTCCTCAAGGTTATCCATGTAGCATGTGTCAGAATTTCCTTTTTATGTAAATACTGTTCCGTTTTATGTGTGTGCAACTTTGTCTACATCCATCCGTCAATGGATACCAGCGGCCTCCAACTTTTGGCTACTGTGAGTGATGATGTGACCATGATTGCACAAGTACTGCTTCGAGGCCCTGCTTTCAGTTCTTTTTAGGTGTGCACCCAGAAGTGGACTTGTTCAACCACATGGTAATTCAACTCTTAATACTTTTCAGGAAGTGAGGGGCTGTTTTTCATATCAGCTGTACCATTTTAGGTTCCTACCAACAGTGTGTAAAGGTTCCAATTTCTCTGCACCCTCACCAACACTTTTTTTATTTTTTATAACTATCCCAAGGGACATGGGGTGTGACTTCACTTGGTTTTGATTTGCATTTCCTTGAGGATTAATGGTGAGCATCTTTGCGTCTGCTTGTTAGCTGTATGTTTTTGGGAGGGAAATCTATTTTAATTCTTGCCCATTTTAAAATCAGGCTTATTTTGTTGTTTAGATATAGGAGTTTTGTGTTTTTAAATTGCTTTTTTTTTTTTAATTTTTCAATTACAGTTTACATTTAATGCGATTCTGCCCAGATTCAGATGTACAACAAAGTGACCGGAAAGCCATGCACTCTACACAGTGGTCCCCCCACTGCCCCAGGAACCCACCTGGCCACATACCTGATTATCCTGATTATCTCGATGTTGACTGTATTCAATGTAGGGGTTCCCCCTTTTTTTTAAAAAAATGTATTATTGATTTCAGAAAGAGGAAGGGAGAGCNTGATTATCTCGATGTTGACTGTATTCAATGTAGGGGTTCCCCCTTTTTTTAAAAAAAATGTATTATTGATTTCAGAAAGAGGAAGGGAGAGCGAGAGAAACATCAATGATGAGAGAGTCATTGATTGGCCGCCTCCTGCATCTTGGGCATGTGCCCTGGCAGGGAATCGAACCAAGATCTCCTGGATCCTAGGTGGATGCTTGACTGCTGAGCCACGCCAGCGGGGCAAGGTTGATCTTGATGTTTACCTTTTTTTTTATCCTCGCCTGAGGGTATTTTCCCTATTGCTTTTTGGAGAGAGGGAAAGAGAGAGAAACACGGATTGGTTGAGAGTCTGCAACCGAGGTACGTGCCCTTGGCTGGAGTTGAACCCAAGACCCTTCAGTCCATGGGTTGATGCTCTAACCACTGAGCCAAACCTGCTGGGCTTGATGTTTACTTTTTAAAGAGGTGGCTCCAGGGCGGCCTTTGGTTCCTTGGTGGTGGCTTACTGTGATTTTCGATTCTGTGGGCCTTACTGGCATCTTATTCCTGTGGGTCCAGAGTAAAGAGAAGCTCCTGGTGACTGGGTTCAAAGCTGAAAGCACATCCTAGCGCAGTGGGGACAGGACAAGGGGTCCTACCCAGGGCGCTGCGCACGGGCGACACCTGGCGACACCACCGCAGGCTCCCGGACGGTACAAAGCGTTCTCTCCCCTGGCTGTTGGTCTGCTAAATGGGCGGCTAGAGTGACGCTGCCTTTCTGGTTACTGCCCCCGGCCCCCTCGAGGCTGCCCGTCCTGATCGCGCTCCCCACGCCTAAGCCGCGCCCAGCCTGAGATGGGCGTTCACGGCGAGCAGGGCGCTCTGCCCGCGGCCGCTTCTCTCCGGGGACCGCGTGGAAGGCGAGGGCGCGGGCCTGGCTTCTCTGTGCTTGGCTTCGCAGCGGCCACGCCCTCGCCTTCAGCCTCGTCTCCCCACACTGGGGAGGCCGCCCCACCGGGCTTTCTGAGCGCACAGGGAGACTCCAGGTCGCCGCTCGGGTGCCCGAGGCCAAGTCAGGACATCGTTCCGGCCGGACCCTCCCGGGCCACTGCCTTAGCGACGGTGCGGGGAAACCTCGCGGGAACCGACGGCGCTGGCTCCGAGTGCCGGGTGCGCGCGGGCGGGAGCGAGCGTGGCGGTGAAGCCCGGGCCACGGAGCTGTCCGCGTCTCCATTTCAAAACTGCCGCGCGGCCGGTTTGTCGCCTTGGTGGATTTTCTTACGTTAAAGGCTAATCGCGAGCA